TTGTTGTTGCAGATGGTCAAATGTCCTACGGCTATTGCATTAACTGCCTGTATCCGGCGATGGGTGATAACTAGGACCAAGGGCAAATGGTCACTCCGTATTTCTCATCTGATGCTTTTGTTGGAAATGACTACCTACTGGCACTGTATCTAGATCAAAAGTGTGTGTGTGGCTTTAAAACTATTTGCTTCCGTTATTTCAGCTCGAACTTGGTATGTAATAACTTATGTTCGAAACTCTGATGTATCAACTGTCGTTGCGAACTTTATGTAACGTATGACGGTACTTGCTAAACTTGTACGATCTTGGTTTGTATGTCGATTGGTTTGAAATCCTTCGTGGTTTCACGGACTACCCGGGTTATACGGGTTTAAGTTTGCTAAATTATCTGCTTCGGCGGAAGATTTTCTTACTTAATCTCGTATAATTGGTCGGTTCTGTTACAGTAACCGCCAGCTAACAAAATATCGCTCAGTTCGCTGGTCTGAACTGAAAAGTTCAGCCGGCTGGTTCCCCTCCCATTGCACTGTTTATCAAACCAGCCACAAGTGTTTCTCTCTCACACAACCAGCCAGTTTCAGCCAAGTTTCAGCCAGCCGAACGGGGCCTGGGCAGCAATCCGAGCAACAAAAAATGGTCAACCAAGTGCAAATTAGCATAAAGATTGTTGATTATAATATAAATTCTCACCGGCAGCTTTCTTTTCTCCTTATATTGATTATTAATATATATGCAAATCAAAGTTATGGTCGCCAAATAAACGATAGCAATTGTATATTTCGTACAAAGTTGCAGTTTGCATTTCTCATCTGTCCAATATCAATCTAATATCAGCCATAATTAATATATAACCAACTACATTTGTCTATTAAACAGGTGAGTATGTCTTAAATATATTATGATCGTTAATTTCTATTTAGACTAATTAGTCATTAGCAATACTGACCAGCTGATTAATTATTTTACAAATTATGAGAGTTTTAATAATCACAACCAAGTTTAATAAAATTAAGCTGAATTAAACTTGAATTTAACTAGTCCGGGGAAAAATTGCCTAAGCATACTATCAAGCTCAAACTACAAAAAGTGGTCAAGTTTAGCTATCAACGGTGTTACGAAGTTAGTCATATCTAACGAACATCTTGTAACGGTGTCCTATTCTCTCGATGGCATTGAAGGGAACAAATTATCTATATGGATGGGAACCAAGGAAATAAAGCTTGATCATGCAACGGTAATGGCAATGAGGGGATCAAAAATTCTAAATGAATGGCAATGAGGGAAACTCATAATTTTTTATGGCAACGAGAAAATTGTTATAAATTTTAGTGGGAATTACTAGGGTCCTTGAGGTAACCATCCCCATTGTAAGTATTCTCAACCTCAATCCGGCTCCAGTCTGATTTGAAGCACCATCCACTGTTCAGGAAGGACAGCTCGCGGGTCCCACGGCCACCGCCCAAGAACATCAGCGTTGCTGGCGGCTACGGCTCCCATGAAAGCGACTCCCGGATCTCTGCGGCAGCCTGGTCCATGGCCAACCCTGTTGCCTCGCCGTCTTGCCGATACCACGCTCACTCACGAAGGCACATGAACGAACGATCGCATGTATGGGACGACTCCATGGCTGGCATGGCAGGTGGGATCCGTGGCCTGCGTGGCGACGATGGCGATGGGGCCCCTCCTGGTCAGCGTCACCGGCCGGCCGGCCACGCCGATTCGCAGCGATTTGGCACCGAACTCGATGAGAGCCCAACAGGTAGGTCTGGACTCTGTCCCGTGCTGGTTTTTTTTTCGTTTCGGCGCAGCAATGCTGACCGTCCGTCGTCCTTCGCTGCCTCCTGGTGGAGCAGTGCGTGCGTCGCTCCAAACCCGCCGTAAAAAAGCTGTCCCCAGGCACATCGATTACCGCTTTGACACTCTGTCGTTAGGAGTAAACTTTTGCTACTGCTAGGTGCTAGGTGAAAGCCTGAAACTGAAGCAGCTCTGCATCACTGCAATAATGGTCTCGATAGGATGAACAGTGTGTGGGGGTTTCTGTCAAACGATGGCCAAAGCGAAGATGAACTTGCTGTCAACGTGGAGTGGAGTACACAAAACGAAAGCTAGGTCGTAGCCGCCAACCCAGCATGTCACCTGGGACTGGCACGGGAAAAGGGAGGCCAGCAGCCCCAAGTGAAACCGATGGATCAGACTCGGACGTGCGCCGGCGGACAACGGTGCGTGGCTTTTGGGAAAAGGTGCGGAAAGTTTTGGGTGGCTGGCGTGCCGATCCCAGTTGTATAAGTCTGTGTTTAGTTACAAAAACTTTTCCAAAAAAACGCTACAGTAGTCATCACATCGAATCTTGCGATACGTGCATGGAGCATTAAATGTAGACGAAAAAAAATTAATTGTACAGTTTGGTTGGAAATCGCGAGACGAACGCTTCAAGCCTAATTAGTCTATGATTAAACAATAATTGTCAAATAAAAACGAAAATACTACAGTAGCCAAATGTCTAAATTTCGCGAAATAAACACGGCCTCATTTTGAATCGGAGGCCGTGCCGCGCTGGATCCGACGCGATCCCTCCTCCACCTGCCGGAATCATTGTTGTTGCCCAGCGAACGAAGCGGAGGCTGCCACCGCTGCTGGCCGGGAGGCTGCGCGGCCACATGCCATGCCAGCGCTTCACTTCACCCCAGACCCAGAGATGAGCTCCCGTCCCGTGTTGGCGTGTTATGCCGAGCTAGCTGTAAAAAAAAAAAAACTAACTAACTAGTAGTATATGTGTATATCTTCTCGTAGTCGTAGCTGTGTGTTAATCCGATGATCTCTTTCATGGCGTGCATGGATACACGTAGGGTGCATGGCCATGCAGCGATCACATTCATGTATTACCACAAGCTAATAAGCTTCGGTTTATGAACTTAAATAACTATTATATGATGGGTTCAGCTCCCTCTATATCAGCATCATTGCATCAGGATACGATCTTGAAATTCCCTTTTGCATATATCGTTCCGGACTTCCGGCAGCCTACGCCATAGATGCACTCATTCATGTGTTCCTTTGTTTCTAAGCCAATAATCCTATATACATCAGCAATATTATTATTCACCCGTGAACACACATTGCTTGATTGTTTTGTTTACACGTACACGTACGACGCCGGCCTCCACTGATGAGGCCCAGACCTATTACCAACCTGTCTCTAAGCTCTGGTTGGACACGGAAAAAAGTAAGTAATGTAGGTAGTAATTTGCAGCCATCTATCCATAAATTGACCCTAGCTAGCTAGAAATGCAAGCCAGGAGTAGCTAGTTTGATCGATTGGGTGCGTGGCACGCTATACTCGATTGGTGGATGGATGTACACCATCGGAGCGAGCGCACATTCTTTGGCCGTACAAAACATCATGCACCCCAAGCTTTGCCTTGCATTGCACTGTCTACACGCCATGCACCATCCATCATGCACAATCTCTCGGCCGTACAAAACAATTCTACCGTACCACTTGTGCTAGTTTTTTTTTTTCTCGAACAATGCAACCAAGGTGCGTAGATCTGGAGGCGATCGATCCATGCATCAAATATACGCTGCAGGGAGATCGATCATCCATGGTGATGGATCCATGAGAACATGCATGCATGCATGCATGTGGTCGTCCGTCCAGCCCAGTGACGAGCACGGTGGACATACACTACACATCCCTTACAACTACTCAAAAGGCGTGTGTCTGGCCGTCGTCGTGGCCCTGCCAGCCAGCTCTGAATCTCTGATCCCTTGTACGTTGGCCGGCCTCATGCTGACAGCCGGATCGATCGACGTCCTAGCTAGCAGCTTAACAAGCTAGGCCAAAAGTAAACAGTGCACGCATGCAGCTAGCTGTACTAGCATTGCACATTCATCGTCGTCGAGATCTGGACATGTGCATCTTCCAGGCTTTGCCTTGCATGCATGGGCATGGGCTCGCTCGATCGCTGGATCATGGTGGCCATCTTTTGGAGAGATATCAGATATACTATATGATCGATCAATCAACGACCCATCAATGCAACTTGCCCTGAATATAATGGACACGTACGATATGGGGAATAATGACGTTGCATGTACCCATGTGGTGGAGCTCGGCTCGTTCTTATATATATATATATATAACTACTACCCTATAGCTGGCTACAAAATAACTTATTCTGTAGCCAATTTAAGTTACGATAATTACTATGTTAATTTATGAGATTATAGTAACTCCTTGCTAAGTGGTTTACGATAATGTTATGGTAAATATCTCCATGTGTTATACTAACCCAACTATCGTAAATATATATTGACGTTATCGTAAATTAATATATAAAATTATCGTAAATAGAGGTGGCTACAGAATAACTTATTTTGTAGCTGGCTATATATATATAACACTACTGTTCTGCAGCTGGCTATAGAATAACTTATTCTGTGGCCACTTTGAGTTACGATAATTACCATGCTAATTTACGAGATTATAGTAACTCCTTACTAAGTGATTTACTATAACATTATCGTAAATATCACCGTGAGTTGTAGTAACACGAGTATCGTAAATGCATATTCATGTTATCGTAAATTGATACAAATATTATCGTAATAGAATAAGTTATTCTATGACCAGCTGCAGAATAGTCTTACCCTATATATATATATAAACAAAAGAATCCATATATATGATGATGATACAGTACACTACACATGGTTGGCTGGCTGGCTTGCCCTTTTACAGCTATACTTTTTCAGCCAACGAACAATATTTTTCTCTCACAATAAATCAGCCAAAAATAATTTTAGCCATGGCTTATCAGCCAAACGAACGTGACACATTTTAGCCTTGCAGCGCCGGGCACTATATATACAGCCCCTGGCCCTCTGCCTCAACACACCACGTACCGCATCACAGAGACACAGTCCATCAAACTGGTAAGCTCTGCTAAGCTTGGAGCTTCAGTGCTTTGTTCAGTCCAGCTCCATCGTCAGCTGCACCAATGGCCACCGTCGAGGTAACCACCGCCTTCCGATCCCATTCTCTTCAATTCAATCACTCGATCGCATAGTCAGTTTCATTTCATCCATCTGCATCTGCATGCATGCACCAGTCACCACTATATTTTGCCTGAATGATGCAGTACGTGATCGTACTGAACACACCATGGAAAATGCATGCTCACCGTTCCTTCCTTCCGTGTGTGCCAACGTGCTGGTCCAGGTCCCGACTGCCACGCCCGTCGAGGAGGCTCCGGTAGTAGTGGAGGCTGTCCAGCCGGCCGCCGTCGTCGTCGAGGAGACCCCGAAGGAGGAGGCCGCTGCTCCTGTCGTACCAGAGACCCCGGCCGCGGACGAGCCAGCTGCGGCGGAGACCGAGGTCGCTAAGGAACCGGAGCCGGAGGCGGTGGCGGAGGCCGAGGCTGCCCCTGCCGAGACGACTGAGACCAAGGAGGTCGAGGTCGAGGCCGTGGCTGAGCCGACTGAGGCAGAGACCAAGGAAGCAGACGCGGAGGCCGCGCCGGCAGCAGAGACGGAGGCTGCTGCTGCCCCCGTCGAGGCTGTCCCGGCCGAGACTGAGGCTGAGCCGGAGGTGGCGGCCGAACCCGAGGCAGCAGCTCCGGCTGAGGCCGAGACCAAGGAAGCGGAGCAAGAGGCTGTGGCGGCCCCGGTTGAGGCCGAGACCAAGGAAGCGGAGCCTGTGGCGGCGGCCGAGGCCGAGGCCGAGGTGGCCGTGCCCGTGCCGGCTGAGGACACCAAGGAGGAGGAGGCAGCCGCTCCTGAGTCCGCCGCCACAGAAGCCGCGCCGGCTCAGGAGGAAGCACCGGCCGCCGCAGCGGCCGAGGAGGCGGCCCCTGCTCCGGAGGCCGCCGCCGCCGATGACAAGTCCGAGTGAGTCCAGCGGCAGACGTGCGCGCGGTCGATCTAGCTGTGTCAGCCTGTCACATGGCGCCGCGCTGGCGCCACGGAACACGGCATGGCGCCGGCATAGGTCGCTAGCTAGCTAGCTGCTTTTTCGTGGACTCGTCGTCGGCCGTCGTCGCTGTTCACCGGATTCACGTTGTGTCGTACTTAGCTACGTGGCGCGGTGGGCCCCATTAGTACCTTGTGTCGTGTTGTGTCGAATAATGTATCTGTGTGTGACTTCTGTGTCGGTGCTGATGTGGCCTGGCTTTACAGCACATCGGTGGGGCCGGGCCTTCTGTCGTTTATGTTGGTTAATACGTGTACCGTACCATCTAGTATGTGTTTTGAGTGTGTAGTATCTCTCTGTTCCATCTTTTGAAGATCTCTTTTCTTTTTTCAAGTCAAGCTCTTCAAGTATGAACTTGTTACTAACTAGCATTACCATGTGGGCTAGATTTGAGCTATACATAACTCTCTAACTTTGTGTAGGAATAATGGTTATCTAGCGGGTAAGGACCCAAGGCATGTGGGTTTTCGACCCGACGGGGGTGAGGGCAAATCTAGACTCTCCCACATAGGCTATGGGTTCAGGGCCTCGAAACGAGGCGAGTTTTTATTTCTACCCGTGCGTGCCCACCAAGGATCGAACTAGAGTAAATTAAGCCCACTATTCGATGAAGCCTAACAGGGCCCATCTAATAAACCAGCACTAGTAGCTATAAAATATCTCCCTTCATAGAGTTAGACTCCTCTAGAACTCCTCCCCCTCCCGCTCCTGGCCAACCCAAAGCTCATAGGTGTCGCCCATAAGGACTTTAGGGCTATGGCGAGTTTTGGTGCTGAGTTTCTTCAGGCATGGATGCACGGATGTTCCACCTGGCCCCAATCCTCCTCGTTGCCATCCCTAACTTTGTGGCAAATTTATTGTCCATTAGCTAGTTAGGTAGCCAGTGGTGGACTTTTAATCGATCAAGGTTCAAATCCTAGGCTTGAAAAAAGTAGTTACGCCCTGTATTCACGGACGGAGGGAGTACCATGAAGAAGAGATGTTATTTATTAAGTGGGGCTCCTATGTTGATTTCGTCAATCTTGTAAATCGGTTGGTTTAGTCTTTCAAAGGTGTTCACAAAGTTAAAGTGTGTGTCCATAGATGTGGTAGTGAGTATGGATGTCTCTCTATATAAACTTTGTGCCTCTTTTTGGTTTGCGAAAAAAAGACTGTGTGGCAAGGTGGGTGGTTTCCTTGAGTTATGTAGAGTCGTATAGGACGTTTGTGCAACAATTGATTTCACTTTTTTTTAAGAGAACGATTGATTTTACTTGCCTAGCTTCAAACGTCGAGCACTTTTGTTAAAAAAAAGGTCCAGGATCAAAGTGTAAGCCCAATATAGATCCGCTTGACACGGGCTCTTGTTCGGATCCCATTTTAGGGCCGGCCCATTTGAAGTTTGGAGGTTTGCACAACATGGGTTGAAAGGCCGTACCGCCTGATCGGCCCATGGGATCATGATCATCAGCTTGATCCGCCACCATTCCTGCACTACTGAAAAGCCCATGGGGGTTGACTGTTCGCAGCCCTGCGAGATGTCCGAGCAAGGGCGAGCGTGAGGATTGCCATGCGATGTTTTGGTTCTTGAAAGGATCTTTCCTGGAATTAATAAAGCCAGCGAAACAATCTTCCGTGGAATTATTGAAATGTCTTTGCCCTGAGCCTGAGGATTGCCTATAAGTCAATTTTTTTTTTATATATCCAAAATTCAATAGCCTGTTCGCTTATGCTGAAATTTAGCTTATGCTAAAATGTTGTGAGAAAAAACACTATTTCATGACTGAAAAGTAAGCTCAAGCGAACAGGGCCAATAGGTCCATAAGGTCGACAGCACCAAAGCGGAGCCCGGCTGAAGTCTACTGCACTCTACCTGCAATCGTGCCATGCCGCAGCAACCTGGAGAGTGGAGGCCGACCATCGTCCTGTTCGCTAGGCTTTATGTTCGTTTTTTCGATCAACAAACAATATTTTTCTCGAATAAATCAGTCAACAATACTTTCAACCATAACTTATCAGTCAAGCGAACGTGACACATGGTCGTGTCACGTCAGCCGTCACGCTCCCTGTAGCGTAATCTCTCTGCCTGGGCTGGGCAGTGGGCACGGACGCACGTGTGTCTACCTTGGTTTCGTCTCCCTTTCCCTAGCTTGCCCCGGCTGGCGTGCATACATATATGCCTGGGTGCTGCGTGGTGCCGGACGAGTGCACGACCTGGTGGCGCTGGTCAGTCTCCGTCGCCGGTGCTCGCACGGCGCAAGCACAAGCTTTTCGCTGATGCTGCCTGCCGATCGACCGATCCGTGACGATTTTTTACCATGACGATGATGTATTGATGCAAGACCGATCCTTGCAGTAATGGCTGGTCAACTTATTGCGCTTTTAAAAGTCAGGCACATCAATTAATCCGGTACGAAAAAAAACTTGTATATTGTAGTGTGCAAGAGCAACTTGCTGCTCGCCGTCGTGGACTCGTCCCCCGGGCCCCGGCCGTGGTCGGCTCGGCGCGCCGTGCGGTGGCCTGGTGGGCAACTGGCATGGTGGGGTCGTCGATCGCGCAAGTACTCCCCCGTCCCTAAACGTTAAATGTTAGTTGTCACGGTTTGCACGTGGATAACTTTGACTCGATTTATAAAAAATACGTATAATATTTCTATCTTTAAATAAATTTATTAAAAAACTAAATTTAAATAATAATAATAATTATGTATCATAAATATTAATATTTTTTAATATATATTTAGTCAAAGTTGTTTCTTGAGAAACGAAAACGACACACGTTTAGAGACGGAGGGGGTACATTACAGTGAGACAAGTAGAAAACGCGATGAACACGACCTCGCTCGCATCACAACAAGAAGCTAAAAATATTTGATACATATAGGAGGAAATCCAAAGAAAATTCATAGGAATCCATTCTTTTGGAAAGGTTTCTAGAAATGTTATTTGGAACGAAGGAAACTTTAACGGTAAAACAAAGGAAAGTTTTCTAACTCCATTCATTTCACGGGAACAAAACATCCAGTCCAGACCAATGAATTCACGAAGACCGAGAATGTTACTTCATGCGTTTTTCCTATGTTATGGATTTCTACGTTCCAAACACCCCTTCTAGTTATTTTCCGTGTTTTCCTTTTTTCTATTTTACCATTACATACTCACCACATTCCTACATTTTTTTCTATTCCCATATTTTTATTCCTGCGTTCTCCCTCAGTCCATATTCCCTTCGCCATCTAAAAAGAAGACGAAATCGACGACTTGACCGGCGGTGACAGATGGCATCATCATCATTATTAAATTGTTCATTCATCATATATAGTATATATATAATAATAATAATTATCCGCTCCGATCATTCTTTCCGTTGACGCGATAATCCAGGTCAAGCCGCCGTGCGTGTGGAATTCGCCGTGGAAAACAGGCCCTTTTCTTCTTCTTACCCTCGGCAAATTGGCACCGTCTCAATCCACCTTGACCCGTTACGTTGCAGCTTTCGCCACTGTTTCCCAGCTACTTTCCTTGATTAATTCTTCTCTTCCAGCTCTTAATGGGTGCCCTGAATATTGTGATCAACGTACACTATTGCCGTGTTCTTCCTGCCCTGTGTCAGTGGGCGAGGCCATGCCATCATTTCATTTTGATTTTGATTTTGATCGCACCGCCCGCGTGGGCTGCGTGCCAGACGAACCACCACACCACTTTCTAGCGAATCTGCCGCAGCTGAGCGCGAGGGAATTGAAGGAGTCACGGTCGGACACGGAGAGGGGAGGAAGTGAGTGCGCTGCGCTTTACAAATCTCTCAGCTTTTTCATACTGAACATTCAGTGCAGCCATATACCAAGTCAAAAGGGGAGCCAAACTGCAAAGCACTACAACTAACTGTAACTGTCTAGTGAGCAGAGCTTCCATAAAAAGGTATTTACAGGCATTGCAAATCGGTTCACAGGGCAAACTCAGCCAAATGAAAGTATTGAGGACAGCATTAGTTGGCGATGGACAATGACACAACCAAGAGTGCCTACCGTATCCAATTTGAAGGAACTTTTAGCAAAATGAAGCTCATGCCCGATTTGGAAAGCAAAGGCGGAACCCAAATGTTATTTTTTTTTTTCTTGGACTTTAGTGCATAAGAAGATCCTTACCGCTAACAATTTAATCATACGGAATTAGCCCAATGACCCGATTTGCAAGCTTTGCGGGACAGACAATGAGACGCCGACACATCCGTGCAAAGATTGCACCTTCGCTAATGATGTGTGGCCCATTTTAAAGCAGTGGCCGGGTCTATCTGCGATTGACAGAGTAGGAATGGCAGGGTCGCTTCACAAATATTGGCGAAAGTGCCGAGCAAAGTTCGATAGAAGATAGCAAAAAGAGTTCGACGGTGTTATGATTTATTTTTGTGGAATATTTGGAAGGAGCGTAACAGAATAACTTTTCAAAACAAATCGTTAAAGCCAAGACAAGTGCCTCTTTTATGCAATAAGGATATACAGCAATACCAACGGGCAACAAGATTTAGTGAGGGGTTAAGTTTAGATGTTTAGTTTTTCCCTTTCGTTTTCCCTGTTTAGTTGTTTGCCAGAGGCCTCTTCCTCGAGTTGCTGTTTTCTTTTAGTGAGTTTGGAGTGGGTTTAGGGGGACACTACAGTGTGACAGCCCCTTCCCTCAGTGGTCTCTGTAATTATCTGTTTTGTTTTTTCTTTTACTCGTCTAATAAAAATCAGGCAAATCTCTACTGCGAATAACACATGGTTAGTGAGCTTTCATTTAGCGGAGTCCCGTTCGCCATCCTGTTGCTTATTCTTTGGAAGGATATGTTTGGAGGCGTAGAGCAAAAAACAACTTGAGCCACTTGCATGCGTTTCTGGTATAACAGTTTCGAGTACTGTTATCTGGCTGGACAATGATTTCCCTTAACCTATGCTAACGATTATCAT